TCAATTATGTAGGTATTCAAGGAACATCAATTATTAAGCTATTGGGAACATTCAATTATTAAGTCATTAAGAACATTCAATTATTAAGTGATTAAGAACAATCAATTATTAAAGGGATTAAGAACATCAATATTAAGTGGATTAATGAACATTCAACCTTATTAAGTCATGTTAATTAACAGTCCAATTATTAAGTCATTAAGAACATTCAATTATTAAGTCATTAAGAACATTCAATTATTAAGTCATTAAGAACATTCAATTATTAAGTCATTAAGCAGTAACGCGGTTGCGAACAGCGCGTAGATGCTCATGCAAGGAAACTTACGCAGTGAGATTATTTTCACGGATGTAAAAATAACATATATATCTAATATATCTATACTATATTTTAACATATATAATATATGTATACATATATATCTCTCTGGTGCTAGGTCTGTCAGCCGAAGACCTTGACTCTCCACCCACACATTGGTAACTTACACGTACTCTGCTCATCTGCTTGACAGACACCTATATTGTATAGATTACATGGCACAAACTTGAGTTACGTGGAGAAAATCAGTAAGGGGTTGTGTCAGCTAGGTGCACCTACCTAGCACCTCCACCTGGAACAGTTTCGTCGACTGGCCGGCGACGTGCTAGCTATACATGTGTAAGCTGAAGATCGGACAGGTAGGCTGAATTGATGCTCAGTATCTGGTTGTCGTAGAGAAACTGTACGTGACTGTCTTCTGATGTCTGAAGAACGTGAAAAAAAGGGGAAAAAAAGCGCATGTATAATCAGTGACGTAGGTGATTACAACATGGCTGCTTGCCTTTTTCACGCACACACATTTAATGCTCATTTGCCACACACCACTTATTCACCTTTTCACTTACATCTCAACTCTATATAGATGTTTGTCATCATATCGCTAAAAATTGGTTATTTATTATTATTTTTATTACAGTTTTATTACATCGGTTTAGGTACATTTGTCTATATTACAGTTATATGTTCTCACGGCAATATGTACGATTATATGTTCTCACGATTACGTTATATGTTCTCACGCGCACATGTACGTTATATGTTCTCACGCGCACCATGGTACGTTATATGTTCTCACGGCGTACATGTACGTTACTATGTCTCACGCACACATGTACGTTATATGTTCTCACGCGCACAGACGTTATATGTTCTCACGCGCACATGTACGTTCATATGTTCTACATCGTACGTTATATGTTCTCACGCGCACATGTACGCTTAGATTGTTCTCACGCGCACATGTACTATAATGTTCATCACGCGCCACAATATACGTTACTATGTTCTCACGCGCAACCATATACGTTAGTATACTCTCACATGTACGTTTATGTTCTCACGCGCCACATATACGTTATATGTTCTCACATTACGTTATATGTTATCACGCGCACATGTACGTTATATGTTTCTCACGCCGCACATGTACGCTATTATGTTTTCCACGCGGCAACATGCTACGTTATATGTGTCTCACATGTACCGCTTATATGTTCTCCACGCGCACATGTACCGTATAGTGTGGGGGGTCTTCACGCGCCACATGTACGTTATATGTTCTCACGCGCAAGGTACGGTTATATGATTCTCACATGCTACGTTTTATATGTTCTCACGCGACATGTACAGTTATATGTTCTCACGCCGCACATGTAACGTTATATTGTTCTCACGCAGTACACTGTACGTTATATGTTCTACAACATTACGTTATATTGTTCTCACGCGCACTGTGACGTTATATGTTCTCACATATTACGTTATATGTTCTCACACGTACGCTTATATGTTCTCACGCGCACATGCTACGTTATATGATTCTCACCATGCTACGTTATACTGTTCGCACGCGCTACAGGTCGTATATATCGTATCTCACGCACACTGCTACGTTATATGGTTCTCACGCGACATGCTACGTTATATGTTCTCACGCAGGCACATATACGTTATATGTTCTTCATGGTACGATTATAATGTTCTCACAAGCGCACATGTACGTATTATGCTTCTCACGCGCACAATATACTTATATGTTCTCACATGTTAAGTTATCTGTTCTCACGCGACATGTTGTTTATAATTGTTCTTCTCACGCGCCCATGTACGTTATATGTTCTCACGCGACATATACGTTATATGTTCTCACATGTTACGCTTATATGTTCTCACGCGCACATGTACGTTATGTATGTTCTCGACCGCGCCCACATGTACGTTATATGTTCTCACGCACACATGTATGTTATATGTTCTCAATGTACGTTATAGCTTCTCACGCGCACATGTTCGTTAATATGCTTCTCACGCAGCACATGTAACGTTATTATGCTTCTCACGCACACAGTATTTATATGGTTCTCACATGCTACGTTATATGTTCTCACGCGGCACATGCCTACGTTATATGTTCTCGACACGCCACATGTACGTTATATTCTCACAGCCACATTGTACGTTATTATGTTCTCACGCGGCACATGTACGTTATATGTTCTCACGCGCACCACTGTTACGGTATATGGTCTCACGCGTACATGTTACGTTATCATGTTCTGCACGCGCACAAATGTACGTTATATCGGTTCTACACGCGCACATGTACGTTATATGTTCTCACCAGTAGTTAATGTTCGTCACGCGCCACATGGTACGTTATATTGTCTCACACGCACATGTAGGTATATGTTCTCCACACGCAATGTACGTTATATAGTATCTCACGCGCACACATGATCTTATATGTTCTCACATGCTACGTTTATATGTTCTCACGCGCACATGTACGTATATATGTTCTCCACACGCCACATGTACGTTTATGATGTTCTCCACACGCACAATGTACGTTAATATGATTCTCACATGTAACGGTATATGATTCGATCACTGCGCCACATGTAACGTTATAATGTTCTCACGCGCACATGTACGTTATATGTTCTCACGCGCACATATACGCTTATATGTTCTCACATGTACGTTATATTTGTGCCAGCGCACAATGTACGTTAATGTTCTCACGCGTACATGTACGTTATATGTTCTCACATGTACGTTATATGTTTCGACACGCGCACAGTACGTTATAATATGTTCCTCCCGCAGCCACATGTACTTATATGTTCTCACGCGTACATGTACCGTTATATGTTCTCACATGTTACGCTTATATGTCTCACGCGCACATGCTACGTTATATGTTCTCAGACGCCAACAGTAAGTTATATGATCTTCAACTCGCACATGTACGTTATATGTTCTCACGCGCACATGTTCCGTTAATGATGCTTCGCACATGTAAACGGTATAATGTTCTCACGCACACAGTACGTTCGTGTTCTCCACGCGCACTATGTACGTTATATGTTCTCACGATGTTACGTTATATGTTCTCACGCGCACATGTTACGTAATATGTTCTCACGCGTACAATGTACTTATACTGCTTCGGGGGCGTGTCACATGTACGTGTATAATGTTCTCCGCGCACAGTACGTTATATGTTCTTCCCGCGCACATTGCCTACGTTATATGTTCTCACCATGTACGTTATATGTTCTCACGCGCACCAGTGTCGCGTTATACTGTTCTTCACATGTACCGTTATATGTTCTGCATGTAGCGTTATATGTTCTCAACGCGCACATGTACGTTATATCGTTCTCACGCGCACATGTACATTATATGTTCTCACGCGGTACGATGGTACGTTAGATGTTCTCACATGTACCGTTATATGTTCTCACGCGCACATGTACGTTATATGTTCTCACGCGACACCATGTACGTTATATGTTCTCACGCGCACACATGTAACGGTTATATGTTCCAGCGCCAATGTACGTTTATAATTTCTCACCATCGTACGTTATATGGTTCGTCAACGCACACGATGTACTTATATGTTCTCCACGCGTACATGTAGTTATACTGTTGCACATGTACGTTATATGTTCTCACGCGCAATGTACGTTATATGTTCTCAACGCGACACATGTACAGCTTATGTTCTCACGCGAGCATGTACGTTATATTGTTCTCACGCGCACATGTACGTTATACGTTCTCACGCGCACAATGTACGTTATATTTCTCACCGGCGCACATTAGCGTATATATCGTTCTCACGCACACATGGACGTTATATGGTTCCTCGACGCGCACATTGTACGTTATATGTTCTCACGCGACACATGTACGTATATGGTTTTCACCGCCGCACATGTATCGTTATATGTTCTTCAGCGCGCACATGTACGTATATTATGTTTGTACCACGCGACACATAGTACGCTTATATGTTCTCACGCGCACATGTACTTATATGTTCTCACGCAACATGTACGTTATATGTTCTCACGCGCACATGTACGTATATATGTTCTCACGCGCACATTTTGCTAGCGTTATACTGTTGCTCACACGTACAGTTATATGCTCTCACGGACACACAATAATTAAATTTTAATTTTTTAATAGACAAATAAACAAACATATATGGAATAACCGTTAACTAAATTAACTTATATACTTAAACCGTATATTCATATAGGGACCATAAAAAAATCTTCTACAGAGCATACGTTTTAATAGAATATCGGTAGGTCGCAGCACCTACTTCCCAGTTCACTCACCAGAGGGATGCCGTTCTTGAGCCACGTGATTTCCGGTAGAGGGTTTCCGGTAGCGGGACACTCTATGATGAGTGTATTGTTGACAACTACTCGCAGGTTTGTCATATCATCGTTGCCTTCTATCACAGGCGGCACTGCAAGCAACCACACACATCACGTCACGTCCAACACTCGTACCATACGCTGTATATCACATCGCTATCATCGTATATATCATATCAGGAGTGAATAATAATAGATTATATCATTCTATTAGATCTATTCGATCTATTATTATTCACTCCTGATCATAACATCACGCTATACTGTATATCACACACGTATACGCGATGCCATATTTTGATCCAGAGGGTGGCATGCCTAGAGAAAGTGCGCATCGAAAAATACACCCTCGCTACTTCAATGTTCTGCAACTGCTCTGACGAAGGTCCCTTGCCATACAAATGTACAGGGATAGGGTGCGGACACATCGGCGACCTGTCGCCCAAAGGAAATGTCTTGATGCCGACAGTAAGCATTAAATTATAGTATACACGCTGCATGTATAAGTCACTAGTATTCACGTGTTATTGCCAGCAGTGGCATGAGCGGGAACGAACACGGTGTTTATACATACCCAGCACATCCAAGTCGAAATCTTTCTCCGCTTCTCCCGCGATGTTACTGGCAATGCACGTATAAAAGCCTGTGTCCGTAACCTAGAGAAACAAAGTGCTATCCTTACACACAACCCGCTGCTCAAAAATGCGCACAACTAACCTTGGAGTAATCATTCTGACATTGGAGTCAGAATTATTACTCCAAGAACTAACATAGATGTTTGTTGGTCTGAGTAGAGAATTCATAGACTTCAAGTAACTCGTAGACATTCGGTAGTGATGCACTGCCTTATTAGATTTGATGTGGGAAGTGATTACGTAGACTACAAGTGTCGCCATTTTAGAATTAATTTAGTGTTGAAATATGGTCTCACTTGATTATAAAATACAAGGGGATCCTGAATCATACCTGAAGCATACCTGAGCATGCATGAAGCATGCA